TAGTGTAGTTTAGGAATAACAATTAGTTATACATTAATATCCAATTGATATATCTATGTATTTTTATTTTTCTACTTAATATTATATAATAAAAAAAAAAAAAAAATTATACAAAAAATAAAAAAATTCTTTATATAACATCTATTCAGAAATGAATTTACATTATTCTAAGTTTAAACAATATTACAAAAATACTTCAAACATCTATAAGAGAAGCATCATTTTTGGATTATACCTTTTTATTTAGGAATATCCATGCACAGAAACAATACAAATAATTATGTTGAACAAGTTTTTTGTACATTAAAAGATATAATATTCACAAAAATACAAGCCTATAATGTAATACAAGTATTTTAATTTGTGATTGAAAATATGAAAAGATTTTATAAATGATAACTACTTAATTTCATATAACTATTCTGGGTCTTCATGAATTGCAAAATAGTTTCTTTGTCTGAAGTAGAAAACAGTTAATTCAGATTGTATACAAAAGTTAAATATGCACAATAAATTTTTAGTACCTAGTACAAATCAGAAGAATACTGGTATTACTTATATTGTAAATAGTAAAATTGGAATATGTATTTGCTCTGTTGGTATATTAGGTGCATCTTGTAAGCACCAAAGTGCTGTTATGATAAAATATAATATTTTTATATTTAATTTTGTGCCTCATTAATGCCTACTAATCATATTTTATATGCATATGTTGCATATAGTTATACTATAAAAAATAGCTCATTTTATGTATTAGTCAATAGAAAATTCATTTTATAACATCATGAAGATTTTCAAACAAAAGCAAAAATATCTAATAGTAGCATAAGTAAAACTAATAAAGTTTTAAATAATAATAATAATGATTTTGAAAAAACTAATATTATTGCATTTAATGATTCTTAAATAAAATTAAAGAAGATTATTAAAATGCTACTTCTCAATTATATGCTACACTAAATAAATTTGTAAATTATTATTGGGTAGCAAAAAACTAATCAATTTTTTGATTAACCTTCTTTTTTTATAATCTTAATAATAATACTAATCTTATAACTCATATTAGAAGTAGTTTTATAATTTGAGTTCAGGTTGATTCTGTTAAATAACACAAGTCAAATAGGTCAGAACATAAGTAAAAATTGTTAGCAACACTTAAAGATAAGAAAAATTATGATTCACAAGTCATCTCTAGACAGAAAAAAAAGAACAATAATAAGAAAGAGTATAATTTGAACAAAAATATATTGAGAAATAGGCCAAATTAAAAGATCTTAACAACTATTAATACAAACAAAAAACAAAAAAAAATAAAAAAAAATAAAAAAATAAAAAAAAAGTTAGTTGTAAATTGCTTTAAAGATTTATATAAGGCATTTATATACTACTACAATTATTAAAAATAAATTATTTTAATATATCTTTACATTTGTTTCTTAAATAATTTTAGTGAAATTAAAGAGAATTCCAAATTGTAATATACATTTTAAAAAATTGGTTTTATATATCAATAATTTTATCAACATTCAAGATAATAATTTAGTAAATAACAAAATTAACAAAAATTTTAGTAAAAAAATTTTATTTAATATTAGTTGTTTCAACAAATACTTGAACTTGTTATCAATGATATAATGAATGCAATTTACAAATAATTAATTTATAAATGTAAAGTTGTATAGTAATCTTATAGTTAAAGACAAAAATATAAATAATAATAAATTGGATTTGTTAGAATCTAATACTACATTTTAAGTAAAGCATTTTCTCTAAATGCTTGGCTTGGTTTCAACTCATATATTACTTATAGATTTTTATCTCTTTAAATACAATATCTCTCTAAATGTAAGTTTTTTATTGACCTTTACTATGCATTTAGAGAGGTCTGACTGTATTATTTTATAAAATTCAGTCTAAGTAAGCACCATATTTATTTAAAGATTCGCATATTAAGTGTAAAATTTATTTAAATTCGAAATTGTTTAAATATGTAAGTTGGTACTTTATAGTAAAGCTAATACTTAATTTTCATGCTATTATTGTTATATAGTATGTATATAAAGCATCTTACAAAAAAATATTTACTAAAGTAATGCACATATGATACTTTGTACATTCGTACATATCACTGGATTTGGTTATACCATTATAATAAACTTAAGTTATATTTTATTGGCTAATTAGAGTGCCGATCATCACATGATATGTTTCTAGAAAATCGATCTGCATGACTGCGCCACAAACCTGGCACACATTTCCGACATGCCAAATTTTTATAAATTTTTATATATTAAAATTTCCTCATATATATCAACTTTAATATAATCCCTCATTAATATCATTATCAACATGAATTTAAACCAATCTAAATAGGTTGATATTAATGAGAGACAACTGTACTTTTTTTTGTAAATCATATTTATCTCAAAAATTTGATTAGAAAATCATTTTTGATGCACTAACAAAAAAAAAATTTCTTGCAAAATTTTAGTACGTATAATGCCGTCCAATAACACTAACGCAAATCCTAACATTTTAAACGGTGAAAATAATTCCAACCAATAGAAACTTAGGGGAAATTAGTAAATGCGCCAAACACTGTCCGGAATGATCGTCCGGAAAAAATACACATTTATATATTCAGTAAACTCTAAGACAACAAATTTAAATATTTAAATTTCACAATAGTTCGATCATGGGTTCTTAATAAACCAATTTTTTATAAAGAACTTTTTTTTTTTTACAAATTATGTTAAGTAAATTATAAATTTTTAACTTAAATGCCGCAAAACAATTTGTGTTTCTTAAATTATGTGGGTATTTAATTTCATGTTTATTAATTTTTTGCTTTACTAGAATTACTGTAATTGCAATATCTCATTTTTTTAAAAAAATGACTGAACCTTTAACTCATTTAAAGCATCTATTTGTTTTAACGTGAATATTCTCAATTATCACGTTTGTCAAAGTGATTTTGGGTTATAATTCATCGTAGCTCTCAATACTTATAGAGTGGTATAAGTATTCGTTAAAGTGGGGTGAGTAAATTCAATATATCTAATAGTTCATTACGTTCTAATTTATTGTAGCTTTAGCTTGCAAAATAGCGAAGTAACGGTTTACAATATTAAGATACGGGTCTGTAATAAACTTCGCATCTTTTAAAAGGAAAAGCTTAGAATATTTATTAAGTAAAATTTTAATTTTTGCATAAATTAATGTAAAACGTAGTGAATACGCAATTTCTTTAGTGTTATAGTTCGATCATGTGCTAAATGATTTGGTACGTATGTTAGCAGGAGGAAACGTACCCGATTCAGCTGTGAGGGATTATATTTGTAACATTGGCGGTTAAGTAACCAATCATTGTGAAATTGTGCTGCATACCGAGTGTGGGATTAAGTTTGGATTCCTCCTGTTACGTATCTTGGATCAATTTAGAATTGAATTTCGTAGCAACTCGATCTATATTTTGAATTTAGTTTCAACTTTTCGGTATGTTGTGCCTCAAATCGTTTTTCTTCAGGTATTAACTGTTTGGCCGGCATTAACGGATCAACATTAATTGGCCTAAACTATAACTTAATCCTCATTCCTAAACTATAACTAGGGTTGAAAATTACATTTTACAAACTTACAATACATGTAATTTGGATTTCATGTAAATTTCACACATGGTATATAGTACCGGCACTATGAAAAACTCAGCTAGCATTATTAAACTATAGTAGATTCTGCATAAAGTTCACTGACCAAACGATGTACATATGATCCAACCAATCATATAATTTAGGCCGATTGACACTTAACATATATACAACATATATACTAACTAAAATTATAACCCTAAATTTTGGTTCCATGTCGTTTCCCTGACAATTATTTCCCTGATACCTATTTCCTCGAAAATATTTCGTCGACAGCACTTTCCAGACACAAATTTTTCCCCGACAAATTTGTCTCGGGAAAAGTGTTGATGATGAAATATTTCGGAGAAATAGTGTCAGAGAAATAAATAGTTGTCGGGGAAATAACACGGAACCTTAAATTTTAATTCTAACAAAAGTAAATGAAATCTTTACGCCAAAATAGATATCGAAATAGGGATGTTACTAAAAATAAATTTGGATATACAAAAAAAAGTTTTTATAAAAGTAAATTTTAAATTGCTTAAAATCAATTATCTCAATGCTTTACAAAGTATTTTGTTTCACATAACACAGGTTCTTGCAGTTTTTCGAACACAATGTTGACCGACAATAATCTTTTCGAAAGAACGACTTTCGATTAACCATTTTAAATTTTAATAATAATAGGAGATTGGCCTATATATTTTTATGAACTATATATAAACCTGATAATAAATCAAGATTACTTCTCCGGACTATAATTAAGTATTAGTGTATTAAAAACTTAACATCGGTGCTATAATTTATTAAGATAACTATTTCTAATTGCCAGAATATTATTATTACGAATCTAAAAATAGAACTTACCAAGTCTTTTGAAATATGCATTGACTTTTTTTTATTTTTTCAAAATGACTGAAACCAATAAATACCACCTATGAAGACAGTTAATATTAATTTTCTTTGCAAAATTTGTCAGTTAATCTTTAAATATGAAAATTACATTTCTATATTTTTTAATAATTATGTTAGATGTTTTATACAACGTGGTAGCTCAAAGTAATTGATGTTTCAAAGGAAATTCATGATCTTTGATATTATTACAATTACTTATTTTTACAATTTTTTAATAGCCAATTCATCAATTACAAATGTAATCAATGCAAACGTAAATCCCTCTACAATGGGAAAGTGGAGAGAAATTGGAAAGTGCGTATCACGAATTTTTAAAAGTTTTCTCACTCAATTTAATAATTTTCATTATTTTCCAGCACTACAGTAGCGGCCATGCATATTGTTTTAGTTCGGCCCACAAAAATTCTTATCATTGATAGAGGTATTTTATTGACCGAGTATATATGTGTGTGTTCAAGAAAGCATTTAACAAGTTGACATATTTTAAATTTAAAATTTTCAACAATAGCTGAAAAGAATCCCGCAATGTATCCTGATGGACGTTATGCATACACGTCAGAATATGATTTAACTACAGGCCGGAGTCGCACTCTTAATTTAAAAACAAATACTTTCTGTTCTGCTGGGTCTTTCTTCGGAAATGGCACATTAATTGACTCTGGTGGTGCTGAAAATATTGTAAGCTTTTAAATGGTCAATAAAATGGAGTAACTTAAAAATTTAATTTTTAAAGCTTTTTTAGTAAATTATCTGTCCGTTTTACATAGTCTGGAGCACAAGCTGGTTTCCAATCTGTTCGATTATTCAACTCATGTGATGATGGCAGTTGTGATTGGTTGGATTTCCCAGCATATTTGGAAACTGCAAGATGGTATAACACTATGGTAACGCTTCCGGATGGTAGAGTTTTTAATATTGGAGGATCAATAAAAGCAACAGGCGCTAATGATAACTTGGCCAACAATCCTACGTATGAGTTTTTTCCAAAAGAATCTAATAGTACGAAGTTTCAATTTCTTGTAGATACGTATGTAGTCTGTCTGGTTCTTGTATGTCTATTCGACGCAATCCTCGAAAAAAATTTTTATTGAAAATTTTTTTTAATAATAGATTGCCATATAATCTATATCCTGCAGTATTTGTGCTTCCCGGCCCACCAGATCAAAATTGGTTGTATATATCAGCAAATAAGAAAGCTATAATTTGGGATTATGTTACACAAGAAATAGTCAGACACTTGCCAGATATTCCCGGCGGTCCACGCATGTATCCTATTACTGGCACAATATTTCTTTTGCCATTACACTATGAAAATAACTACGCTGCCGAGATTGTCGCTTGCGGTGGATCTACTGGCGTAACACCCGAATCAAAAACCGAAAAAGATTGCGCAAGACTTAATTTAGCACGACCAAATTCTAATTGGACTTTAGAACCTTTTGGAGATTTTGATACAGGACGTTTAATGGGTGATTACATTCATATGCCTGATGGAAAAATACTTATTGTAAATGGCGCTGGTATGGGATTCGCAGGTTGGGGTATGTTAAATCCTTAAATAAAAATATAATTTCATGTTTCTAATACTTTAACTTCATACCATAGTATCTTATGAAAATTATTTCTTTAATAGACACGGGTAACATTACTAACATACAACATTCAGCAAGATTGCCTCAAAAAATACCATTGCTTTACGATCCTAAAGCACCTCTTGGACATCGTTTCACTAGAATGGCAGAAGCAAAATATGTTCGTGTTTATCATTCAACAGCCACTTTAATTCCAGATGGTACAGTTTTTGTCGCTGGCAGTAATCCAAATGCACTGGTTTGTGATACCTGTGAATACCCTACAGAGTAAGTTAACGTTAAGCAATAGTAATAAGGGAATTTACATTTCATAGACATCGTTGAATCAATTTTACTTTTATAAATTTTAGATATCGCATAGAAATTTTTACACCTCCATATCTTTTAAATGGTACACCCCGACCTATCATTAGGAGTATCGCGGGTACGACAGCCTTCAACTCCATAATACCTATCCAAACGACATATGGAGAGATAGTCACCATATCAATTAATCTGGATGATCCCATTGCAAACATTACTGCGGCTTTAATTCATCATGGTTTTGTTACACATTCGCAACACATGTCTGCACGATATGTAAGTTTACGAATTAAAAAGCAAGTACCAATCCCATCAGGATACGCTGTTGATGTCATTTTACCACCTCATCATAACATCATGCCACCGGGACGGCATACTTATATTTATATCTTGAATAAGGGAACGCCGGCAAATACTGCCATTGAAATTAATCTTGAGCGATCTTAATCTGAATTTATGCTGATATCGATATTAATTCACCAAAAGACCTACTATGTACTTTATGTTATATATAATATTTATTAATAACATACTTGCGTAATATAGAACTAATATAGAACACATTTAGATTTGTAAATTTATTCCTATTTTTTGTATGTGGTTGTTCTAACTCCTTTTATTTCGGATTATTAATAGTATTGCCTTTTTTTTTGATATGTTAATCGATTTTGTTGTATTGCGTTTCTTTTTTTTTTTTGTGTCACAATCGTATCGTTTATTTAGGTATTTGGCTGCATTTTTTTTTTCATCGCTATCGTAAAGTTCATCTGCATTTTTTATATCGCTATCGTAAAGTTCATTTATAACGATAGATATGAACTTAGCTCATTGCAAATCGATCCCTTTTACGAATCATGTACGTACGTGTTTGGTGCTTCATAATAATAAACTGTACTGTATTAACAGAATCAATAAAGTAAAAAAATTGAATAGCTTTTAAATTTATACTTTAGTAACTAACAATCATACGATAGTATAAAAAAAATAATTTCCATTGTTTTGTTGGCTTGTTTTTTTTTTAACCCTTATTTCGGGGTTGCCAAGGGGCCCTTTGTTTTATTGCCTTTTATAAATTGGGTTTGTTTTCTTTACAATTTCATTGGTTAATTTTTACGGCTGAACTTTTTTTAAAATGTCTAATATTAGCGAGAAACTTATTTGTTGAAATGGAACAGGTAATAAGTCCAGAAGTTCATGTATCATATTATACCATTTATATTAACTACGAGCTTTCAAGATCAAACCAGTAAAAATGACTAGATGATGTCACGAGGAATACAAAATATGGTTTGGGGCCTGTATAGTTATGCTTGCTTATTTTTATTTTGTTTTTCTTATTTAGGCTAGACTCCTGATATCTGATAAGTATACAGTAAAAAAAATAAACCTCCGGTATTTGGGGGCAACAGTGGTCGAGCTTAGTCGTAAATAGTGAGTTAGTAATCAATATTGAGAAGCGATACCGTTCATTTCACTGACAGCATGATTCGCCGACAATCAATTCACCGACAGTTTATTTCACCGACGAAGTAACTCCGGTCATTGTCGTTAGTGTCAGGCTTAGAATTAGAGTTAAGGCTAGTGTAATTTACAAAAAAAACTTGTTGGTGAAACGCACTGTCGGTGTCGGTGGATCGTACTGTCGGTGAATTGGTTGTCGATGAAATGAACCGGATCCATTGAGAAGTGGGCAAATTGATCATAAAACTTAAATGACTCAAAAATCATAAAATCTTAAATAGTATAATTAGGGGTTTCGAAGTTAAAATGCAGAAATCTAATTTTAATTAAAGTTGGTAATATATTTATCTTCAATTCATTTTCCAATAAAAAAATTTCGTTTTCCAATTTTAAAATTTGAATTAAGATTTTTAAACTCTCATTTAATTAACTTTGAAACCACTGGTGTGAGGTCAAAATATATATATTAAAAAGACACCTTTTAAATTTAACAGATTATTTATGGACACATTTGGAATATATATGTTGTGCGTGAAATTAGAATGGGTATGAATTTAAAATTGAGTTGCGTCAGGTTGAAATTGGAATGGAGATGCGTAAAGTTAAAATAGAAGAACAAATTGATAACTAGTTTAAGTCACATGTATGTACTGTATGTAGGGTTCAGGGCTTGTGTAAAAAATTTGGCATGCCCATAATGCCCATCTAAGATCATGTGACCAAACTCCATCATTAGCCAATCACAGCATAGTGTGCATCAACTCTGATTGGTTAATCACTAAATGTATAATTACATATATACTGTATATAACAGCCAGTAATGTAAATTGGATATGTGCAGTCAGCATACGTAGTACACATAAACTTAAATTTGTATATATTTTGTTAAAAATAATTGGCATTCTGCGTATATTATAATTTTACTTTATATAGATATAATTTTTTTGTGCATATTTTTAAACTAGATTTTAATTTATGCATATATATCATTTATATATAATATGTGTTTATGTTAATAAAAATTTTTTGAATTATTATATTGATAATAGTTAATATTGAATAAATTGTTTGTTATAAAATAAATATGGCATATAAATTCTAAGACTACATTTTACATTTTATAATATAATCTAAGAAAAAAAAATTAGATAATTCAGAAGTTAGTAATCAGGTACATTTTTGTTTTATAATTTAAAATAATTTAGTGTACAGAAAAAAGTTAGCATTTACTATTTAGGGTTTTTGACTTGAAAATAATCATATAGAACATAGTAAATCATATAATCCAAATTTAATTTTTAAGACAAAGACTCTATTTAACAATAATCAGAAATAATTAGTAACCTGAAAAATTCTATATACTTAGAAGCAAATATTTTACTATTAATTATTATAAGATTTATATATAAATGTTAAATGTTAGAAAAAGACAACTAAAATATATTAAAAAAATAAAAAACTTATATTTTATTTAATAAAGAACTTTTATTATTATTTAATTAAATAGATATTAATACCTTTATTTTTTGTATTTAGATTAATAAAAATTAGTTTATTAGATACTAGTTTTTTTGTAAATTTAGGTATTTAGTATATTTAGTATTTTATTTGTTTTATAATTAAATTGGTACTCTTATTTTATAGTAATTATATTAGTATAACTTTTAAATTTATTTGATACTATAGTGTAGTATATTTGTATTTGTAAACTATAAATTAAAAAAGTTAATTAATTCTTTATTAATTTAAAACTCCTTTATATAAAGTTTTTTATTTTTAATAATATTAAAAAATTATATAATTTGATTAATTGATTATCATATATAATAACAAATAAATTTACAAAAATTAATTGATTATATAATATTTTTTTAAGTATAAATATGCCTTATATTTTTATATTCTAAATTCTAACTATATGATTAAACCAAAAAATAGAAAGTATTCTAATTGTATTAATAATTTAATAAATTCTTTATTATTATATACAATATAATTTATTTACTTTTATACTAATATTAAATTTTGTAACAGTATTTATTAATATTACAAATATATTAGTATTACTTTTTGGTTATTAAAATATTATCTAATTTTAAATATTTTATTAATAATAAAATATAAAAGTATGTAATATAATATTAATAAAATACAGTAATAATCATAAATAATATAACAGAAATGTGATAATCTAGTAAAGTGATTAGGTTATCAACCTTTTAAATGGTAGGTTAGGTGTTCAAATTCTATCAATAGTAAAAACTTAAATAATTATCTATAGAATATTTGTATTATAGTAACTATTACTAATGATTGAATTAGAATACTTATAATGACAGTTATACTAATATGACTAATAGATTATAGAGCATCTGTAGTTATACAAAGAAATATAAACTAACAATTAGACAGTGCAAACATTAAATAAATCTTTGTAACTATGTAAATCTGCTAAAATTGAGTAATAAGAAGTCTATTTAGAAAGATTTAAATAAAAAAGTAGTTAGATTTTCAATGATTCTACTGTAAAGACTAATCTAAAAAAATAAATACCAAGATTATAGTATCTAGTCATAATATTCAGACAGGTAAGAATCTCTGAGTTAGGAGTTTCAAAAATACCACCAATCAAGACACTAGAATAAACTGAAGAAAAAAAATATTAGACTAATCCAATATATTAATAAACTAGTCATAGTTCTATATAGACTATCTAAATTGAAAGTCTGATAAAAAGGCAGATGAAAAGACAAAGTATACTAAAGTACTAGAATTATGCTATAAAGTAGATATTGGAGTCTATATAAATTCTATAAGAACATAATAGTTAAATGATATAACTTTGACTATAAGTATTAGTTTTATTATAGCAATACCAGATTAGTTATAAAAATAGATACAAAAGGCTTTAAATAATTTATCTCAAGAATAAAATAGTCTTAAGATTAAGATAATAATCTAAGTATTTAAATATAATCTAGTGATATTAATACAGATTATAGGTTTAGAGAATTTAAAATGAAATATTTAAGCAAAAGTGTTAGATACAACAATTGGTAAAGAACTTTTGATTAGACTCTTTAAATAGATAATATAGAAAAGTTATATATATAACTAATTGTATACTTTTCTGTAATAGTTCACTAAATCATATTACCAAAAAAGTTATTAATAAGACCAAAGAGGTTATCTTAATACTAAAAAAAAACAAATAAATAAATAATATAATAAAAAAATTTATTTAGTTAAATCATATTATCTTATACAATTTCAGATGCATCTGTCTATTTTTTTTTATATACTAATAGCATCTTTTTTATTTCTAAAATTTTAATAAACATTAGTTTTATCAAAATAAAAATAATTATATATGTATGTATTACAAAATATGTATTATATAATTTTTTTTTTGGTATTAAGGTAACCTCTTTGATCTTTTGACTTTTATTAATCACTTATTAGTATTGTGGTTCAATAAACTACTACAGGAGAGAGTACAATTGGCTACACATGTAACTTTTCTATATTACCTATTTAAGAAGTCCATCCGAAGGTTCTTTACCAATTGTCATATCAAACACACCTGCTTAGATGTTCTATTTTAAACCTTCTGAATCTGTAACCTGTGTTAACTTACTGGGTCATATCCAGATGCTCAGATTATTGTCTTAACTTTAGGACTAATTTATCCTCAAGGTAAACCTCCCAGAGCCTTCTGTACCTATTTTTACAGCTAACTTAGGTATTGCTATGGCAGAACTAATACTTGCAGTTATAGCTAACTATTAAACTACTATGCTCTTGTAGAGTTCACTTAGATTCTAGTATTTACTTTACAGTATAATTCCAGTACTTTAGTATACCCCTGCCTTTTTATCTGCCTTTTTACCAAATTCCCAATTCAGATAGCCCATATAGAACTATGACCAGTTTATTGATATATCAGGTCAGCCTGATATCCTTTTCTTTTGGTTTATTCTGGCTGC